AACCCTAAAACCCACAACCCTAAAACCTATTGGGATCCACTGTTCTATATTTTCCCCCACCTCCCAGAGTCGATAATGTTGGATCCGACGAATGAGGGCCGCTCCTTCAAGGCAGTCAGCCACACGCTTATAGTCCCCCTTAAGTAGATAGAATATGGCTTTGGGTATATTATAATAAGATCCCCATATACCCCATATTCTATCTACTTCAGGGGGACTGTAGGTTGAGGGTTGCGGGCTTAGGGCTTAGGGCCGGGTGAGGGCTTAGGGTGCAGGGTTTATGGTTGCATGAAGGTTTAGGTTTGGGCTGCTTCGATCTACCTTGTGGGACTTTGCTCAGGAATGATGGATCATCAGATGGAAAGTCAAGTGAACAATGAAATCGAAGCTGCAGGTTTAACGGGAGATATAGGGTTTAGGAAGGGTGAAAGATGTATTTCCTGGCTGTCAACCAGACATGAAGACACAGATAAGAAAAAGTAAACTACTGTAGATGGTTCTACAAAGACCTACAACATGTATGAGCTGATCTTTAGATTTCCAAGAAATCGCAGGGGCGCATTAAGCATTGCCCAAGAGATGGTGATGTCAACAAGTTGCAACTACCGTAGGGCAAGCATAAAGCAAACACGTGATCAGCTGAAATTTGCAGAGAGCCTAGCTGGCCTAGCTGCTGCGTTCCTGCATTCAGAATGTAAAGACGCTTCCGTCTTCTGCGATCGTGCGGCACCCCTGCTGCAATGCTTGAGGTTGACATGACATCTGACGAAAGTGTGCATGAGAGCAGAAAATTTTGTTGCCCCATTGAATTGCAGCTTCCCAAACACTCCAAAACCCTGAACCCTACGGAGGAAGCGAGGAAAACCCATACATCCTGAACCACCCTAAACCTACTCAAAGTCTAGGAGACTAAGCCGGAAGCCACTGATTGTACCGTCTCGTGTAGGGAGTTGAAATATGCGACAAGTGCAGCGGATAATTCTGGGAGGGAAGGGCCGCGGACATGTCAGCATCCATGGCTTTGGCATTGTGTAAGGATTACCCCGTCCTAGACTGCGGGGCTTAGACGGAATCTGAAGACCCGTAGAACAAGATGGGGGCATACTGAAAGAGTTGAAGGGAAACACAACCCTAATTGCAGACCCCAAGCCAACACATGTTGACTCCTTCCATGGTTGGCCCCGTGAGTCCTGGCGGTCAATAGGCGCTGCATTTCGAGCGTGTAAAGGGGTCAGCCCAAACATGTTCGAGAGGCTTCTTTCGGTTCTGCTGGGACACTTTGGGCGCCAGCGATCCAACATGAAGGGTCGAGGACTGAACTCTGGATTAAGGCTAAGGGGGAACCAAAGGTTGCTTTTCCAAGCCCACGCTTTAGGGTTCAGTCTGGACGTACGCACCCTTAGAGTTTCGGTAAAGTTCTTTAAGTTATCGACACTATCTTCGTGCTGCCAATGCTCATCACGACCGGCCTCCGTGCTTCAGAGGATCAATCTCAAAGGGGCCATGTAGACAATATCTATATATATATATACACACGGTATATGCATATATGTACCCGCACTTGGGCCATGAGGTTATGAACATGAAGTCCTTTTGGGCCCCATAAATATATACGATAAACCGATTCCTAGATGCACCATTTCAGCTGTTGGCCAGCGCAACGCACTGCAACGCCGTACACACATGCCACGCCACAAATCCGTTGCTAATCATCCATTTATAGTCTCCCTTCAGTAGATAGAATATGGGGTATATGGGGATCTTATTGGAATACACCCAAAGCTATATTCTATCTACTTACGCGGGACTATAAACCCCAAACCCAGGTACAGTACCTGCCCGCCACCGCAATGGAGGCTGAAGTGGCAACCTACAATTGCTCCATTGAAATCTCGGTTCGGGGGTCAAACTCCATTCTCAGGCCCTGCGTAGCTGAAGAGTTTTCCGATGCATGTACATAGGTCCGGGTGACATAGAGGACCTCGGACACCCTGTGGGTCTTCAAGCTATATACGTACCTCTTTGGGTCCTTCGGATGCGTCCTGCTGAATGAGGTACATTGGACTGCATCTCAAATCGCAACATGTCCGCCCATGATAGGTCCTTGCCCGGATAGATCTCAGAGAAATCGTAGAACTCACAGTTTAGATCATCCTTCGCAAGGGCTTCTCTCGCCCAACAACAGGTTTTTTGGCGGGGCTCCTGGGAGGCATCGTAGCAAGGACCGGTCTCCTGGATAATGAACCTGCCTGATTTTCTATTCTGTACTATGATGGGAATCTCTGTTATTAGCGAAAATGGGGTTATTGTAAGTGGGAGCGGATTGATTATGCAGTCCATTTTCTTCAGGCTTGCAATGAAACAATGAGCCTTGTTGTAGATCCTCGCCCACATCTGCTTTCCCTCCGTCACCTTCCTGTCAAACCAGATGTAGACCGAGAGATACCTCAGCAAAGGCTGCATAGAGCTGTGAGGTAGCCACTCAAGAAAAGAAGTGCCATACGCAATTCTTGTAAGATCCTGGGCTGAAAGCGCGGTCTCTACCACTAGTGGAATTTTCGATGCCCAGGTTGAATGCTACAAATGACTATATGTAGCCCTTGCACTTGTCACGGGCTTGCATGAAATTGGTTGATTCGAGCGCTGGTTGTGACTTGACTTCCTGACAAGAATACCGGCTCTAAAGCTGCGAGATGCTCTAGAAAGGCGCCACGTAGCTACATAGTTGATGTACTTAGGGCCACAAGGGATTCCCGCGTGGTTGCTTCGAGACCGACATATACAAATACACACACGCACATATATATATATGTATAAATATACAACGTGTAGCTACATGGACCCTATGGAGCCTTTGGGATTCATGAAGCCATTCTGCCTCGATGACTTATCTTGACATCAAAACCCCACCTGAAAGACAAGCTCCCAGCCTCTGCAACCTGATTGTGCGGGAATAACCAAACCAAAATGGAAGGTTGTCTAAACCATGTTATGTAAACCCCTATAATACACTATATTGTACCCTATCATATCCTATAGTACACAACTGAATGTATCCCATTACGGTCTCTTTTTGGGGTACCTAAATATCAGGGGTTTTTTTCGAACAAAAGAAACGGGAGCATAGTTTTTACCACCTTCCGCATCAGAAAGCATTGTCAAGTTCAGGAAGGAGCAAACAAGCACAAAGAGTAAGCGACAATATCGAATTAGTCCCCCAGCCGCGGGAGAGAACACAAGCACACAACAGAGCCGACAAAAAACACAAAACATAACTTGACCTCCTAAACATGCGCTGTTAAACGCTGTATACCCATTTTGGGGGTTGGGACTCTTACGTTTGTTTTTCTGGAACTGCGTAAATCCTAAACACTGAAGATGCCAGCCAGGAAGATCTTTACCCTCAGTCTCGAAAACTGCAAACAAACTTGAGAAGGGACACACTGAAAATTGAAAAAGAACTTCCTTTCGACGCCTTCCTATGATGCCCCCTAGAACCCCAGTGTCCATTTCATTTCCAATTTTGTTTCCATTTGATTCTCAACTGTTGGGGAGTAACGCGTAATATCCTTAAACTCTAGAAGGTGGGGTCCACAGGCTTGCAGGCCCCTTCCCGGCCACGTGTTCTTTTTGATTGCACTGTTTAGAGTTCAGGGACCTGATCATTGGGCGCCAGGTCTCCCTACAACAGGGACCCATCCTTGCCCAACACCACAACAATCTGGATCCCTGTTTCCTTCCTGCCGGCTACCGAAAGGTGCCCAGTTTTATCAAGAAAGGTTGCCATTAGGGGCCCTAAAGATACATGGGAGTTTTAGGGAGACAGCGTGTAGGAATTCTAAGGAAACAGCGCCCTAAAGGATTCGACTCTACAAGGGAATCTGGGGCAAATGCCATGTTGAACGGCGGCGGGTTTTTTTTGCAAAGGTGTGGCTCGGGCTGGTTTTTTGCAAAGGTGTGGCTCGCTCCTTTTTGGTCTTCGAACGCTCCAATTGCTGTAAACTACAGCATTTGCTCGTCTTGGAACGTGTCAAATGCTACAAATTACACCGTTTGCCGGTCTTGGAACGCCTCAAAATGCTGCAAATTACAGCATGTGCTGGTCTTGGAACGTTCTGATTCTAAATGCTACAAATTACACCACTTGCTGGTATTCGCACATCGCAAATGCTGCAAATTACACCATGTGCTGGTCTTGGAATGCTTCAAATGTTGCAAATTACAGCATTTGCTGGTCTTGGAACGTCTCAAGTTCAAATTACAGCATTTGCTGGTCTTGGAACATGTCAAACGTTGCAAATTATAACATTTGCTGGTTTTGGAACGCTTCAAATGCTGTACATTATAGTCCCTGCTGGTCTTGGAATGCTTCAAACGTTGTAAGTGACAGCGTCTGCTGGCCTTGGAAAGCTTTACATGCGTTAATCTGCAACGTATGCCGGTCTTGCAAGGTTCCACTCCTTGAACTAGTTCCCTGGCAAAAAAATGAGCGTTTGGGGGAATGGGAGGTACGAATAAGCTTACTTGGAACTTAAGAGGAATCACCATACCATTGTAGATTCTATAGGAGCTATGTTTCAAATCCATTCGCTGCTTACAGTGCGAAATTTGGTTTAGTATATACTCTGAAAATATCGAACGGCGAACAACGTAAGCCGCACAACCTTCCTTTGCTACAAACCTGGTGATGACATGATGCTTCTTTGTTATTGCCGACATGGATGGCTTTGAAGCAGCGGGGGGGTTGGGGGGGGGCAGCTCCCCAATTTGCAAACGTAATGATCCACACAAGCCTCCTTTCCTGCAAACATGGTGATGACATGATGTTTTTTCTTTATTGGAAGCATGGATGGCTTTAAAACAGCGGGGGGTGGGGGGGGGCGCAGCCCCCCCCCGTTTGCAAACATAATGATCCGCACAACTTTCTTGTCCTGCAAACATGGTGATGACGTGATGTTTCTTCTTTATTGGAAGTTGTCAAGGCGGTTTCTGATGCTTGACAGATTTTGGTTGATGCCCATGCCCGATTCGCACATGCATGATGACCTGGTGATGGGGACAATCCGACCAGGGGACCAAAGACCAGGGGACCACAGGACTACCAAACCAGAAGACCACAGAGCCAAAGGACCAGGAGGCCAGAGGACCGCGGGACCAGCAGACTGGAACGCTTCACATGCTGTGAATTACAGCGTTTGCTGGTCTTGCAACATCTCAAATGTTGCAAATTACACTATTTACTGGTCTTGGAACGCTTCAAATGCTGCAAAATACAGCATTTGCTAGTCTTGGAATGTCTAAGCTGCAAATTACACCATTTGCTGGTCTTGGAATGCTCAAATGCTGTCAGTTACAGCATTTGGTCTTGGAACATTTCAAATGCTGCAAATTTACAGTATTTCACAAGGACCGGGGGGCCAGAGGACCATGGGACCAGAGGACCACGTGACCAGACCACGGGATCAGAGGACCACAGGACCAAGGGACCAGAGCCACACCAGGACCGAGCCACACCTTTGCAAAAACAAACCCTGGACGCAGGTTGAACCCCCAAACTACCAAAAACACAAAAGAACCCAAACAGTAGAGCCGCAAGAACCTAACCCCAAACCTTAAGCCCTACCTAGACCTCTGAAAGAATGCTAAAATGAGTCAGAAACTGTTGCTCCAAGCACTTGAGAGGTCTAAGTAAGCCCCCAGCATGAGGAATATATATATATATATATATACATATGTGCATATGTGCTATCTATCAATCTGTATATATATATAGACATATATATATATCATATTCCTGTACATATACACACCTATGCAAACGTATGTGTATGCATATGTGCATCCTCATGTGCCTCAATTGGGGTCCAGATGCTTGCAAGGCTTCAGCGCCTCAAGGCTTTCGAAGCCTTGGCCTTCCCAGGCAGAAGGTAGAAGCGGTAGAAATGTCTGCGGCGGCAGAGAGCCTGGGCTTCAGGATCTTCAAAGTCCTGCTGTAAATTTTAAGGGCTTGGGGAGGCTCTCAAGGATGTCGCGCGTAACGATTCCCGAAAATCCGAAGCGCGAACCTACATACCTGCATACCCGCGGACGCGAGCTCGCACACATACAGGGATGGATTCGGGCAATATTCTTCAATCTGAAGGCCGGCCTGCGGCGTCAAGGAGCCTCAGGCTCAGCTTACAATAGGCCCTCAAGAGGGAAATCATACTGCCCAAGACGCGAAATCTGAAGCCCAGTTTACAGGTGGGACACGCCCGAAATCCGCCTGAAACGCCTTCTTGCTGGGAGCTTGGGGCCGCTTCTTCGCAGATCAAAATATCCCCGATCAGGTGTCCCCTTCTGAGAGTTCTTCCCAAGACCCTTGGACAAACATGGAACTCGATACCCCAAACCTTCAGCTTCCAAGTTCTAAACCCGAAATGGCACCCTTCCTGAAAACCAGAGAAGCCACGATCTTTGTAATGGGGTACCCTATATGGACCCGAAACTACGATTTCCTATTTACTATGATCCTTGTTGAGGCTTTAGAAAGGCACCCTTTGGGAAACCCTCACTTGAGCACGCCACGCTCTGACCCGAACGCTTGCGAACGCTTGATTGAGCGCAAAACGCCGGATCCCAATCCCGAATCAAACAGCTACTTGCCCTAAGGGACACCATAACTCAGTACCGGGAATCTTGGTGCTACTAATTCTATAATATTGTCTTGGGTACCTATATCACCTATGTGATTACTTCTTGGGCACTTGGACCTTCAGCGTCGGTAACTCAAAGCCGGTAGTTGCAGCTGAACATTCCAACTTGCAATGTCCGTCTGCCGATGGAAGCGCGCAAGTACATACTCCCCTAGATTCACCGCCAATACGTATGCGCGCTCATTCTCAGCGACGTTCCTGTACGAGGGTTGGGGTTGGGGGCGCCCGTGAAACTCAAGCACGAATCGGAAATTGTACGGCCAACTCCACACCCAAGCCCTATCACATTGAAAAGAAATCCACCCGCAAAATGCAGGAATTTGAGCAATTAAGTGACGGATGTTGGGCAGATTTTGCCAAAAAGTTGAAATTCTAGATATGCTTGTTCCTTTTGCTTTTATTTAGAGGCTCTTAGGGGGAATGTGCGAAACTCATCCAGCCTAGATGTGTCCCACAAAGGCCACAACACAACGACTTTAAAATTTGAGCCCGTGTCCTTTCCTACCATTATCCCTACTTCCGTGATCTGCTGACCTCTCAACCTTTCATTGCTGAATCCCACCTGCATCACACTGAAGTTGATACTCAATACGAGGTTCCGCACTGACAAACCCACGCAAAAAATCATCGATGCAATGCTGTTAGTCTTTGGTGGGGTACTGCCCTGTCCCATGTTGTTGCAAGGTTGGGCATCCGAGGGAAACAATGTCTGGAGGCGTGGAGTGATTCATTCTCGTTTCACACCAGACCATCGCACATGCTGTGAAAAGGCGCCACAATGCCATGGTTCAAACAACAAACGCAAGTGCTTGCGGCTTTGTAAAGCTGTGGTCAAAATCTGCTCTGGCTTAGCTTAAGCCGCGCATTGAATGCAAGATCAGACTGCAAGGCTATGATTCAAGGGCACTTCCATGCAATTGGGATTTTCAAGTCATCCAGTGGAGCCATGGAACGCCTTTGTGAAGATAGGGTGGTGTTGCCAAGTTGAAACCTTTGTGACAAATGCAACACCAAAGCATCGGTCTTGCCGGATTTCCCCAACGTCCTAAACTGAAGGGCTGCGGGGCCTTTTGAGAAGGTGCTATATCACTATATCATCAGACAGCAAGTTTCGAGGTTAACGACTCAAGATTTCAGCTTGGGAAGCGCCGGTCATGCCTAATTAGGCTCGTGGTGAATTGTGCACGCACTATGCGGCTTCCGGCAAAGCACACATGGTCAGCACCGGCGCTGGCCAACGATCAGAACAAAACAGCGGCACCATACATCCCAAGGAAATGTCAGTGGGCCACCAGCAAGCATCCCGACATGTATAACACTCCTATTCCGACTGAAAATCTTGCTTGCGGGCTTGGTTGGGCCTTGCTCTGCCAAACAGCAAGAAGTCTCAAAATCTATCTTTCTGAGACAAAAAGCCCTGGGCTCAAGTTTTTATTGGGCATTTCTGCACATCTCAATCCCTATCTTTGAAGCTTGGGGGATGCAGAAGCCCCCTGAACTCTTTTGCAGACTTATAAGCCCAAACTGTTTACAAAGATCGGAAACTTCAAACATGTTTGTCACCTTCATGCTTAGAGAGGAAGCACATGGAGAAGATCCTGCCATGCCATGCCGCAGATCTTTCAATAGCTACTCTACCTCATGCAAACGACGCTTATGCTGGTACTTCTATCATCTACATACGTCGATCACAGACCTGCGTCATGAACGCCCTTGGGGTGACTAGCAGCGCCGGCAGCACCGCGGCAGGAGCCACGTCACCCCCCTGCCCCGCCCCCGCCGGCACCAGCAGCACCAGCACCAGCACCACCGCCGCCGCCGCCCACTTACGCCTCTTAAGCCCTGCGGGCCTTGCACTTCTGCCTCCGAAATTCCAGGAGCTGCAGCAGGGGCCGGGCTGTAAGGCACGGAAGAATGGTGAAGGAAGATGCGCACCTCTGTGGGAGTCTCTCAGANNCAGCACCAGCACCACCGCCGCCGCCCCCGCTGCTGCCCCGGCCCCGCCACCGCCACCGCAAACAGCAATGCAACCACCATCACCACCGACGCCGCCACCACCGACACCGCCACCACCGACTGAGGGGCTCCCAAGCCAGGAAGCTAATGACTCCGATCTTCGCCCTGATCTCCTCGCCTGCCGGCAAGCCAGATTGCATAGGTGCAGGGGGTTAGAAACGATGGGTTGGAGGTCACATCCTTAACCGCACTCTTTGTTGTGGTAGCTAACTTTATGTCTAGTATCTTCTGTTGCAAAAATACGTGCCCCACAACGAGGGGTAGGGTATAAGGATCTAGGTAAGGTGTGGTTAGACGTTCGGGATTTAGCAGACTAGGCCTGCAAATTCTGGGTTGTAGAACAAACACCTAGACATCTCGGATACCATCATCCATCGTAGCTTTGAACCTAAGAGTATGGCACATGGGCCAGTATTATCGCACATGTATACTTTGCAGGGACGATGTCTCGGCAGCGTTTAAGTCTGAAGCTCTGGTCTTGGCTCCGACTTTGAGGTCTACGGATTCGAGGTTGAGGCCCCCCTGTCAAAAAACGAAAGCGCGATATTTGGGCGGGGGGGGTCCAAACACAGGGGGTACTTTTGGGGGGGTACGTAACAAGGATTGTAACATTTCGGGCTCTATGTTGGGGTCCCCTATGTAGGGAAAGTAACAATTTAAGCTAGCGTCTAGGACGCCTCACGCAGACCCCCCACCCTACTGAGTGGAAACCCCACCACAGGTGGATCGTTTAGAGGCGGGTGGTCGCCCACGGGCCTTCCTACCACTCCTGGAAGTTTATCGGGGTCTGGCGGGAATCATGATGGAAGTGCTATGGAAACTGCCCACCCGTAGATGGCTTCAATACTGCTTTTTTGAAGCTTCAGAGATGTAACAGCCCTGCATGACAAAGCACAGGCACATATCCTGAACAAGTAAAAGCTGAGCCGTACAGCCGTCCAGCATATTTTGGCGGTCCCAGCTCAATGGAGGAAGCCGAAGACTAGCACCACTCAACCCCATGAACATTGAAGCAAAAACCTCCCACCTCTCAGGCCTTGACTCTCACCAAAAGCTTTGACCCTAATGAACCCTGCGTTGTCAACACGCGAGGAACTTTAAGGCTGCTTCTAGATGCTCGGGGCCCAAACGCTCCCTTACTGAATTTCGTGGGCCCTCAGGGAGATGTCGCCCGCCTGAGTCCAGGACCACGCCCTCACAACGAGTGGTGCCCAGGAAGCCCTTGACCTGATCCAGATAAGCCCTGCATGGTGTCTAAATACTTCCAACTAAAGCCCATGTACCTAATATGTCCAGAAGTTAAAGACCATCAGCATAGGTATTTGGGAGGTCCAGGATAAACAACCATTGACCTGCTCAAGGGTAAAATTATGGGGCATGTTCACGTGATACAATAGAAGAAGAAGTGTCTGAGAGCTTGTGCGGAGAATCCATGTTGGGGGCCCTGGGGGCCCTCTACGAAGAACAAGATTCCGGGTGCTTGATTGAACGAAGGAGGAGCTCTAAACCCAGACTCTATACCCGATACACGCGAAAGTCTAGATACAAAACTGTATAAATCCGGTCATGATACAGACATGATATGCTCAAGTATTCTAGAATCCTTTCCAGGCTACTTGAACGGTTCGAAGAGTGGATATATTGATCAGGGACGTAGAATGTCTGGTTCCTGGGGCCGGTCTCAACATAGGAAAGATGGGTCCTGCACAAACATGGACATATGCTGAGCTGCTGAACATAATCCGTATTACTGTAGAGGGGCTCCCAAACGGGGGCACCTTGTTTTTGGAAACTCTCCATGTCATGAACAGGTAATGCAGATACTCCAGAGCCGTGAGAAAGAATGATGTTGCCGATGTTGCCTCGGGCGCATGAGATCTCAACAAATGATTTCAAGAGTATTTCTGGGTTCAATTGTGCGGAATGCCATGCTCAAGCTTGCAAAGTCCGACAAGGATTGCGTTCCCGTGACAAGTTCTCTTTCCTGCGTCTAACTCTAGAGGCTGGCAGAATCCACTGTCCGAATGAGCGGCTTGTTGCTTTTCACTTTGCAACATGGGGTTCCATGCGCAATGCGCCCTCTATCTGCACTGCTTCCCAACTACGTTTGCGGTTCCTCGAGTAGCCTTCCTGTCCCCATGCGGATAACCTGCCTTCGCATTGTAGTCTGGCTGTTTACCGACATGACTCTTCACACAAAACTCAGGAAGCTAGTTTGGACCTGCAGGAACCCAAAAGTCGGCAGCTGAATGCTGCATGCCTTGCCTCGATACCCGGATCCTAACGACGTCGTTTGGGGTGTGGGTTTGAGGTCTAGCTATAATAAGGCTTCTGAGGGTCAATCACCCAAACCTGCACAGCTTTGCCTCTGTGCTCGTGTGTACTGTAGATCCCAGCTTCTCTAGAAGCGCTTTCCTAAGGCGGTTGAAGGGTGGGTGGTAGGATCTGGGCGTAGCAGCCCTTTGGATTTGGGCCTGGTTGAGTTGACAGTCATGTCACAAACTATCTTTATCTCGGGTAACTAAACCTGGCGTAGAATGTGACTCTGGCCTAGGAATTCAGGACTGGCGGTGTCCAGGCGACTGATCACGCTTGTTTCGTGCCGAAACTCAAACCTGAACCCGAAATGCTCTTTCTGGAAGCTTCTGGTCGAAAGTTGGAGTGCGTCTTCTGAGGTGAGAGCTACATAGCTGGCAAGCGCCCTGGCACCAGTTGTACCATAGTTTGAGGTGATCTTGTGGAACCAACAGTCTTTGCGCCGGTCCCCCAACCAAGGACTACACTGCCCATAGCAAAGCGATGCCTAGCTTGGTGATGCTAGACTCTCTCTGTTGTACAGACTTGTCAGTCAATGGCGCGTTGATTTTTGGCTGTTCGGTTCTGCTGCTTTGCATTGAAACACCCCCATCGGCCCCGGGTTAACATCACAGGGGAATGCGCAAGCATGCTGCTGATGTGCTCCCCTAAGTTACCAAATGCTGCATCCCAACCAGTAAGCCCCAACCCCCAAATCCTCGCACACCAAACCCTGAAACGCGTACTCAGAGCTGGCGTCGCGGGTGTGAGGAGCTCGCCCAAACCGCAGCCGGCAAACCCTGGACATCAATTTCTCAAAAACACATACTTCAGGGGGGGGAGTGGGGTAAATTCATAGGGTGTTTAGGGTTTCCCAATATGGTAGTTTCCCAAAATAAGGGGAAACCCAATATAGACCCCAATATACTATAATCCCGATTATGATTCCCCTCCAGGAGTTGAAGCTTTGCTACCTGGGATTGGGATTCAGACAACAAATGGCTTAGGAGATATACTGTTCCAAGGCTTAGGCTTGAGATTGTAGGGCTTGGGACACGGTTCAAGGATTGGGCTCCATAGGGTCTAGAGGTTGCTCATCATGACCATGTGGGGATAACTTTCAGACTCTTGCTTGGAAGCTTGCGCAGCATGACAGGTCAAACGTCGTTATAGTTCCAATGCACGCCTGAGATATCCTCTTCTTCTCTCGTTTATGTTTTGAGGTTGCTGGCCTTCTGGCTGGGGGCTGAACAGTGGCTGCTTTCGCGCGAGTAAAAAACGTAGCGCGACTTCGATCTAATACGCAATATGTTCCAGTAGGGGATGGAGGAATGGGTCTCAATAGCAGCCCCGATATAACGGCCAAAAAGTGTAAGAGTTTGTACGCGTGTTTTCTTCCTTCGTTTCCTACACTGAAAACCCAGTAAGCACGAAGGCGGGCGCATATAGCTTCACAGTAAATCAAGGTCACGCAGGACTTTGCACGTTTAATGTAATAATTACCAACACTGCTAGAAATAAGTACTGTAGTATTAGACAATACTAGACACAGCAGCAGTAGCAGCAGCAGGAGTAGTAGTAGTAGTAGGAGGTGGTAGGACCAATAAACCCAGAAGCCCCAGGTCAAAGTCTGCCAAGATCTCAGTAATACCCATATAACAGCCCACACCACCTTGTTTGATTAATGTCCGCAACGTCGGTGGGGTTCGTAGTTGCTGCACTTGAAGATGAAGCTTCCGATGTTGGTCGCGTCTGACACTCGGCAGTTTAGCGCTTATAGGGTCTCAAGCCTGCAACACCTGTATAAAAACTCGGGGGCAAGGCATTAGTTGCATCGTGCTTTGGCTAGGTCAAGAGGTAGCTCAAGCGTTATCTGAAGAAGTTATTGACGCACGGGGTTGCTGGATTGGAGAGGTACTCTCAACCAGTAATTGTCAGTTGAAGGCCTTTGGAAGTTCTAGGCATGTTTCAAAACACTCGGAGAAGTACTAGTTGAGGAACATACCGATTTTACAATTGCTCCTCAGGCAGCTATTACGATTCTTCATTGTAGTATGAACTTTGATGACAATGTCACTATGTCGTTGTCTTTGTAAGGGTACTTTTACTGTGCTTGAGAACGAGATGGCGCCAACTCAGGGGGCCTAGACTGAGAACCCAGCTGGCGCGGGTCCCCCTGAAGGATCATACTTGGGGGGGCGGGGGCTTGGGACACAACCGAAAGTAGTGAGCTGCCGTGGAAGCTTCAAGCCAGGGTGCAACCCTCCCGCACCCTCAACCCTAGACCCCAAACGTTCCACCTACGTAAGCACTTTCTTAAAACAGTGCTCCCTGCCAAGGAAGTCTCTTCCAAAAAGCGGTCTATGAAGGGTGCTCTTGATTTTCGAGCTGTACCTAGCCTTGTGGCGAGGGTATGAACATTTTCTGGGAGTATCCCAGGGCCAATGCGGTTACGTCTACGCCTTAAGTTTCTGAAACTAGTTCTGGGGTTTTCCAAGGTCCAATGCGGCTCAGACACCCATCTCCATCGATGAGCGCCCAACAAGGCGCCGGAAAAAGCCTTAGCGCAAAGATCTGCATGACCATGCGGAGCTAGTCGTAATCTAGGACATCTCCGGAACATGGTTGCATCCCTCTGCAGCTGTGGGTTCATTCGTCTAGCGCTCGTGTCACAAGAATGCTCCTAAAAGGGACCTTCCACAATGTTAACCTCAATCCTAAGCCTCCAAACCGCTTGCCGAAACCCCAACCTGAAACCTGATCGAACCCAACCTGAAGCCGCGCTCACGAAGCTTTTTTCGCAGCAGCCCAGCCAGCCGAAGTTCTCAAAGAATGCCCCTTGCCCTGCATCCCTAAGTCCATGTGTTAAACCTACTTTGGGCCCTAGAGGCTGTAAATAATACCTAGATAGATTTAGGATTTATGTGACTATCTCATCTATTATCAGTCTATAGTGGGTATTTTTGAAGGGTTCGTGATGGGCGTTTAGTAACATGTCTTGGGGATGTTATGGGGGGAGTCCCAACCAACAGTAGTTTCTCTGCGGGCTTGCAGTTTGGGACATAATTGGGAGCACCAAAAGGTGACTTGTAGGAACTATGTCCAGCAACTTGCGAATAGCCACCAGGTCCCCTTCCCTCGACAACATGAGCACGGATGACGAGAGCTCAGGACACATGCAAACTTCACGCATAAACCTCCTTCTGATCAAGGAAACCTACATGTAAATATTTGATACCCTCCTCTTGCCGTTAATGCTGTTGGTGCAAAGCCTGGGAGGTCTAGGATAGGATGTCCAGGAAGACTTACGTCCCGAATCATCCCTAAGCCCTTGCGAAGCAGGTAGCGCACAAGCGCAGTGGCGGACACCTCCTACAGGCAAGCTGCAGGCTCTTCGAACTAAGGATTACCTGCATCCCCGACTAGAGTTTAATGGCACCGTCCCCTAAGTAGGGTGTAGAGTTTAGTCGAAGCCCAACCCATAAATTTTAGGTAGTGCAGGGAGGTTTCGGTTTGTGAGATGCCCACATGATGGGCATCTCACAAAGTCTTATGCGTAGATTTAAAGGTCTTAGCACCGGAAAAACCCTAGCTTGGGACTAGCTACGTTCAGGGAGCCCTCTAGCATGAAATAGCTGAGAAGATCCTACCCTTCCAGCATGTCTGCATAAGGTGCACTTGCAACTCCATTTGCCCTCAAATTACTACTTAGTACCACCAATAAACACGTATAACCCATCAATCTGCTGGTAATTGTGGTTGCAAGTGGGGTTAGCTGAGTCTAGGAGACGTTTTCCATTTTCGGCTTTGGGATAGCATGTTGAAAGATGTGAAGGTGCTGACCTGCACCCAGTGTCAAAGAGCCTAGACTTGGGATAGGAAGTTCGAAGATCACATGGTGCCTTTCAAAAGTAGACGATCCCTTTCTTGGGGAGTCCCCCATAATATGAAGGCTCGCAATAGTTTTGGTGCAGGGAGAGACAGGTCCATCAGGAGTGGGGAGCTCAGAAAATGTGGTAGTTTCCATAGATGAGAGGACCCCGACATAGACAAAAAAAACCTACCCTCCTTATCACTAGGAACACCCTATAAGTACCCCTAAATTTGGGAAACCTCATGATAAGTGATTGCAGCGGTGAGGCAACGGAGCTTGGGAAACACTAGGCACCTATGTTTAGTTCACTGTAATCCCAAGTACCTACAGGTTTATGGGGAATACCTGATACTCAGGGAGTACTTAGACACCAGGTCTGGTTTAGCGTGAAGGCAAGAAATGTCTTCCATACCTGGTCTTGCGATAAGCCTCGGAGTTGCTGCCCTCCAAGTTTCCTGCCCCTTCTGCGTGGCACAAACCTTCCGTGCTGTAGAAGGTATCTCCAACATGATACCTCAGAAGAGGGCAGCCTCTGGAGCCTCTCCCAAAGCCCCAATCCAAAAAACAAACTGCAACAACCCTGCTTCAAACTCCCGCACCCAACCCTGACTGCCAAACAACTGCCTGCCCACGAAAAGCCGAAATCGACCGCAATTCACCCTAAGTCCTATATAATTTTCAGCCGGCTTTAAGTCCGCTACCTGTCCCAGCTCCCAGCCCTTGTCACTCCTCCACGGGAACGTTGAGGATAGCATGCGATAGAAACCCCCAGAAGTGCCGAATGTAGTCCTATCGGAGGTTTGGGGCCTAGGGCCGGGGTACGAGATCTACCTCAACACCCCCAACCAACAGTTCCCCAAAGGGTCCATGTACCCGATAATGAAGTACTTGGGTTTTGGGTAATAGTAATTATAGTACAAGTCTTGGGTAAGTATATGACTATTGGGTACTTGGACCCTTAGGGTTCATAGTTATCTAAGCTCTGATGAAGGTAGTTCGAGGGCTTGGGGAGGTGCTTGTGTCGAAGTTCTGGAAGACTCAGAACTAAGGATAAATAGTAGTTTCCATGTTCTTCTCCATTACCCCTGTAAAATCCTTCAATTCCCTATAACCCCTTAAACCCCAAACAGTAACTTCCTAGTTTATTTATGATAAGGGCTCAGAAATTGGGCTCAGGAGTTGAAAGCTCAAAGGAGATGAAAGGCCTGAGCTTAAGGAAGTGAGTGCCAGGATAGGGATGACGGGGATAGGGGCTGCGGGTTTGGGAGCTCACCGCACTCCTGTTTTTGCATAGAAGTCGGCGACTAAATGTGCTACCATCTCATCTGAAAGGCTACACGCAGGCTTCGACACTCGGACCCTTACGCCTACTTTCTTCCAAGTCAGCTCAGCAGGGAAGAGTGGGGCTGTCAAATCCCTTGTCCCTAGATAGCAAGCTTCTGACGCCAATCCGATTTTCGGGGGGCTTCAATAAACCACAAGCAAACTTTGTACTTGCTGGCTCGAGAGCCCCGCAAAACGCTAAGATTCTGCGAGACAATCATGTCGCAACACGCTCTGGAAACAGAAAATAATTCACCTGACGAAGCCCAACCCCTGTCATGCCCTGGAGCCAGGCTGGCAGACCTCTCATCCGAACTAGCCTGCATTGCTGCATAGCCGCAATTTCGTCCATTCTAACCCTTTACAGACTTGACCTATTCCTTGAACAGAAGCCCAATTTTAAGGCGACAAGTCCCGCCGAGATACCTCAGAGACGCCAAGGCCTCGGAGAAACTCAGCGCCAGACTGATCATCCTGGAAGGGGTCGGGCAAGGGCTCAGGGAAATTTGCCACTTGGCTTTACAAAGGATCAGGGCTAAGGGGGAGCTAGGTCGTGCCAATGGACTTCAGGGTGTGCCCTCCAAACGAGAGAGAGAGAGAGAGAGAGGGAGAGCGAGTTCGTGAGGACGAGTGCTGTGTTTCGCTTCATAGGCTTGAGAATGCAACACACAAGTCAAAGCAAATTCCAACTAAGGCCTGGGGGCCAACACAATAACCTTGAGCCCCTTGTCCTCGACGATTCGCTGAGGAAAGTAGCACTTGCAGCGAATCGGGGAACTCGGACCCGGGAACTCTACTCCCTTTGTATCTTGCTCCAGGGCTGATACCTCCGACCCGCTGGATATGTATGTGCGCATTCGCACTTAAGCGGTCTAGGTATGGGCACTGTGGCTCCCAAGGGGCTACAACCAAAGCGATGTTGATCATGCACTTTAAGTTTGCTACTTCGCCAAGGTATCAGCTAAAAAGGCTGAGGGGAGGAGGCGGAGGACAACTCTGGTTCATTGGATGCACTTAGGGCATCTCAGGGATAATTTCTGGCTTGGCACGGACTAGCGGCTGCCTGGATTTGCAGCTATATCCTCATGTCTCAACTCTACCCCGCCGAAATCTCAAAGGCGCCCAAAGTAGACCCGAAGCACGAAACTCTGCTCCGCCTTACACCTGAATGTCAAAAACTGGCAAGGCCTCAAGACCAAGCTGAGTTCGTCGTGCAAGGAAAAAGGGATCCGCAACCTCAAGCCCAAAAGCGTGAGAGGTCCCTACTATGAGCCCGGCGTACATGGAATGTGAGGAATGCCTGCCACGTTGCCTACCGCGCGCCCAAAACCTGAAAACTTGAAACCCTGAACCCTTCACCTTAGATCCAACCCTTGACTCATGACTCGTGCGGCTCAGATCACCAACTTCATTAGTTCGTCTTCCTCAAGGCTCAAGCAGTGCCTCGGGACTTAGGGCGTGTAGAACCGTCCTTCAATTCACTTGGGCTAGGCTTTTGGGTATAGGGGCCTGGGGTCATGAAGTAGGTGCAGCAATCATGGGTTGAGAGTCAGCAATGTGGACATGGTGTTTCAGCGGCACCCAGGAACTCATCTATCATCTTGGGCTGCCACAGACCCGTGGCGCCAAACCTAAGGGAACAACTCTAACTTGGCATAGCAGTAGTAGGTAATAGCAATACTCTGAGCGTTGGACACACCCGCCAGCCCGGTGCCCTGAATAGCAAGAGGTGGCCTACCTACGAGGGGGCAAGATTTGTTTCAGCTTGTGCTTCCCAAATGGTCAACACTTCGCAGCAGCTGAACATAGACCCCCGAATGCTATAACCTGATAGGGTCCAAGTACCCAATAATTGAAGAAGTGGGAGTTGGGGAATAGTCATTGCAGCATAGATTGTGGGTGGCTTGCCCGGGAAAGGCTCCAAAAAACCCAACTCCTCAAGATGGCCCTATGCTGCAAGGCACACAGCGGCTGGAACTGTTGAGTGCTTGTCTGCCCAGGTCACAAACCTCAGATTCGCAGGTGAGGATCGGGTGCAGGGTTGGGGCTCCGGATTTTGGGGGTTTCAGGTCCGAGGGGACACCGTCATAAGTAGCTGAAGTTGGTTCGCGCGCGAATGTAGATCCCCGTGCAGCAATCACCCTACTAATTATGCTAGACCACTCCCATGCCCAATAGGTCTATCTAGGCTTAGCTCAGGCTTCGTGAGCCCTGTGCGCCGCAAATCTTCTTTGTCAAGAAGTCGATTTAGAGGGCACGGCAGTATGTTGAGCATGTATCCTCGTGGACTCCAGTTCTGAGCACTACCCAACTCCAACTTTCGGGATACAAAGAGTCAACTCAAAAACCTACACCCCTAAGACTCAGGCCCAGAGCCGTAAGCCAGCTTCGATCATAGACCGGTTTACAATAGTGTGAATCTCCTCCCCCTTATATTAACCCCCCCCCACCCGCCCCAATATTAAATACTGCCCTCCCTATTGTGCTATAATATACTGCCAGTATGTACTATTAGGGGGAGGTGGGGGGGTTTAATATTAGGGGGATGGGAGTTGTCCTAGCCCAGAAAACCTTGAGTCACTTGAAGCCACGAACCAAGAAATCCTTGATCGCCTTCAAATGCACGGCCACAGGTGGGGCGGATCTAGATACCTTCCCACCAACAACTATGCCCTCGCTTCAACCGGACACCAAAGGATAGTAGTAGTAGTAGTAGTAGTAGTAGTCGTCGTCGTCTTCATAGGGCCTGTACCATGCTAGTTTCGGAAAGTGCCTGCATGTTACCACCGCTGGGAGGAACCCTCGTTGGAGGTATAACTAGTGGTGCTACGATTGCTTTGCTGCGGGGACTGTCCTATAGGTGGGGACCCTAAATCCGAGAGCCACAAACAATTTTGCATGTTTCTCTCTGTGGGCGTGACATGCTGTGATGACCAAGGGAAAGTTTTATTGGTTGCTGCTATGTCGGACATTCCTTAGTAGTTTAACCATGTAAGATTAAACAATTCCCCCCGGATCAAACAAAAACTACTCATCTATTTATAAGCACTTACGGATTTGTGTCTGTATTTCCCGCCTAGCGGCGGATCCAAGATGGATGCCGGCCCCCAGGACGCCGGGGCGGGCAGCGTCCTGGTCCTGACGCTTGCCGCGCACTGGTTTCGGGCTCATGCTGTAGGAAGTCGTCAAGTTGTTCACGAGAGGCTATGGCAAGGACAAAGTCCTCCCAAAAATGCTTCTGAAACTTATCAAATATGTCAAAGAACGAGCGGAACAACCTTGCATGCGGGCTTTTGAGCTATGCGTGCCCAGACAGAGGGATGCTTGCAAGCAAGCGGAGCATAAAAATAGCACGAGGATCAGCCTTAAGGTGTTCTAGGGTTTAGGCTTGAGGCTTCGGTGTGTGCTCTTCCTGAGACTCCTTAGTAGTGCGCAGGTTAGCCCGGACACCAGGGTATGGTGCCGATCTTCATATCATAAGGGTTTCTAGCACTTCAAACTCGCTTCTAACTAGAACTTCGGCTGTTTCATAGGAGATCATGGCAAGCATAGCCAGAAGATGTGTTTGAGAGACTTGCGGGTGCTGTTCTTGGGGGAACCTTGCACTGCTGATCCCTGGCTAGTTTCCGCTCCTAATTCGGCACAGGTCCTCTTGCACACGTGCATGTGGCAGCGTGCGCAGAACTTTCTCTGGAAGGATAGAGCCATGAGAAATAAAGGACCGACCAAATATGTATGTCAAAACATGTTCCCCAGCCACCGAAAGACTCCGGCTGAAATACACCAGTCTTATTCTCGGACTCAAGACTCAAGAAGGTGATCCTTTGGGGGGGATCGTATTCTTCCTGTAGCTAGCTGCCGGCTTGCAGGGAATCAAGAGCGCGATTCAACGCAGATAATGACAACGATGATGGTGATGGCAAAAGTGGTGATGATGGTAATGCTGCTGTTGTTGTTGTTGGCGGTGGTGGGGGTGGTGGTAATAATGATGTGGATGCTGGAGTAGCAGCAGGAGAAGAGACAGTGGCAACGGCAGCTTTGGTAGCAGTAGTAGTGACAGTAGCACTGGCAGTAGAGGTAGTAGTAGCACTAGCACTTGCAGCATCAGCGGCAGTAGCGGTGACGTTAGCGGTAGCATTCGTCCGCAGCAGCAGTCGTAATAATAATCATAATAATAATAATAATGGTAGCAATACTAGTACTAATGGTACTGAATGGTACCGACGGTAACAATAAGAATACCAGAAGGAACACTGGAAGCAAAACAAGATGAAAGAATTAGTGTAGGATGAGAACGAACAGCTGCAGTCGCAGCAGCAGCTATACGGCAGCAGTAGCAGCAGCAGCAGCAGCAGTAGCAGCCGCAGGGAGCAGTGGCAGGAGCTATGCCTACCTTCTGCCTTGTGCTTGATGAGTGTCTGACCTGATTTGCCAAACAAGCTGCTGGCGCTCCAAGGGGTTTCTGCCAAGCTAGAACCAAGTTTTGAAATAAGAAGTTCAGCGGCCCAAGGAGCATCTTGAAAAGGAAAGACCACTTTTAAAAGAGGTTTTCATCATGAATTAGGGGGGTTCTGAGGTCATTAGGGGGATAAAATATGGAGTTCAAGGGAATTAGCTACCCCCTTGGCTTCGTAGGTTTTCATTGTTTTCATGATGTTTTTGGAACTGGACTTGTATATAACATCGATATGTGCTTTTAATTGCCTAGTCCGGTTGTGTTTTGGTTAATTCGGTTCTAAAAAGAACTCAGTTGATTTAGATGGATTGCAACTACATATTTGAAATCCGATTTCTAAAGCTTAATTAGATTTCGGCTGGTTTTACATGGGTTCTAAATAGATTGTAATTACATTCAATAACTTTTTGATTAGATTTCAGTTGAAAGGAATGCAAAAGGGTTTTTAGAGCCACCGTGACTAACGCTTTCAATAGACATTCCACCCAAGTATTCAATAATTTTCGGGGCCAGGATTATGTATTATTACGAGGGGGGAGGAGCGGAGTGGAGGTCGTTTTAAAATTAGGGGGAAGCGATTACATGGATCCGCTCCCGTCCCACTTCCCTTAGGCACCAGGAACTCTAAAGTCACCATGTAGGCAAACCTTTGATCAAAGACCCACAGACTCTACGTAGGCTTGCTTCTTTTCTGGGAATTTGCCTTTGAAGTACCTGCAAAAGGCAGGTAGCATACGTCCCCCGAGTGGGATTAAATCTTTAGAGTGCGCAGATTAACAGTCTTACCCTAATATTGCACCAATATAGCCCCTACATAATCCCAGTTTCCATGTCATTGTCCATTTCCCTCTCCATTTTCAACTCCATTATAGGGTAACCTTAATGTTACCCCATAAGGGGGTTTGGGTTTTTGGGGACCAACCGCCAGCTTCAGAAAGGTCCTGATGTGGTAGTCTTCCTCCCCTCGCACAAAGGTAACAAAGTGACGCCAAGGCTGCCAAACGATCCTGGTGTAAGCTTGGGCTTCTGTTCTGCGTGCATCCTCTCAGTGATGGTAACCTTTTGGGCGTTATGTTTGTTCGTGTTCGGCTCCCAAATCTAGTGTAACCCTGCCGAGCACAAAACTTGTTTTTTGAGCTATGGCACTTGGGCTGAGGAGGCATGAACCATGTCCTGTGTTTAGATCTCCCAGCTAGGATTTAGGAAAGTGGCTACGGATGACTCCAGGGCGTGGGAATGCAAGAAGCAGGTATAAATGTCAAGCAAGCCATGGATCAGGCCCGCTGGACCATTCAAAGCCTTTGCGCCTCTTCCTCGTAGCACAAACTCAGCAAACAGGGACGCGAAAGAAGGAACTTTGCTCAATAACTTCTCTCAGCTCGGCTTGTGTTGTTTCTCAGGAGCACTTCCTCCGGATTTACGTTGTTGCTCAAAGCTTGATAGGAAAGCGCTTTTCATGTGATTGGCAACCGACAATAGAACAGCCAAAGCATTTCAAATGGGCTTCTATGGAAGCAGGCGTCGCAGAAAGGGTGGCTTGCTACTCAGAAGAATCAATATCACTCATATGACGTGCTGTGCAAAGGAGCCTTAACATTTGACCGACGACCTGTACCAATGCCTCGTGAAGGCAGGCTTGAAAGGCTTGAGGCAAGCGACTTGTCGAGAGTCTTCAACTTTGCCAGCAGTTTGAAGAAGTTGGGATATTCCGAAACCTGGTACGAGGCTTGTAAAGGCTAGGGTCTTGGGTTGCCAAAAAATTCGGGCTGTTTCTGAGCATCCTACAAAGGCCATAGGCGTAGAGTTTCTTTGAAGGCCCAGCGCGAAGGAGGTAATCGCAGCAACAATCCTTCTATCCTTCTACTGATGGCGCAACGATGTTGCAAGCTAATTATCTGTTGGTAGCAGCAATAACCATGCTAGCCCTACTAGACCTGATAAGTTCATGTGTTGTGGCCGTGGGAATTCCTTCCGTGCCAAAGCCCAACTTGAAAATATGCACATGCTGCTAAACACGTGCTTCCGATTTACGAAGGGTTAGGCTCCAGGGCTCAGGGCTCGAGGACTAAACTGTAAGTGGGACAATGGCAGAGGTCTTGGCAGCGTGGCTTCAGAGATTGCTCCTTTGGACGGCCGGATTTTGCCTAGAAATCGTACGAAGGATAGTGCCCAAAGCGCAAACGACGCCCAAAACGATGTCTAGCTCGGGTCCTCCATTACCATGCTAATGATTCGGGGGGGCCTTAATAAGTTGATTCCAGACAAAAATGGCTAAAGCCATTTTGGCTTGTATCTAGAGCCTTTGACTGGATCCTTGAGGTGCATTGTCCTGCAGATATCGTGCACAAGTACAGGTTCCATAATTCCATCTATGGCCGACTTCGTGAAGATAGGTTGTGACACTTACCCAGAAATGCCACCGAAATGCCACAACATGAGGACCGATGTGGACTGGATCGCGCGTGACCTCAGTTCACGCAGTGCTCTAATCACTCTGCTACGCCTTACGGTTCAAAACTCCCAATTATCATATACTTACCCTAAACCTGTGCTACAAGTACTGGTGCCCAAATCACAAGTACCCAGTTATTGCTTGCATGGCCCACTAGGGATTCACAAGGGACTTGACCGCTTGAAGTCGAACGAACAGCTTGAGCCTTATGCGAGAGCAGGCTCGGGGTCAAGGCTTTATATGTGTGAGGCTTATGGAGGCTACTTAGGTGAACAGTCGCGCGACTCCTTAAGAATGCTGAAGGAGTAGAACCCTGTAGTTTTTAGTGTCATCTGAGCCAGTATGGCATGTGATATGTTTTGGCAACAGCGCTTGCATATGCTAGCGTGTCCTCTTGCTCCGCAGAACGGCTCGCTTTCCTCGAAGACACCTCGAAGCCGGGAAGTTCGCACCTGTCTCCAAGGCCCGTTGCCCTAAATTTCACAACCCTAAGCACTTACCTAGACCGTTAACACAGATTCAAAGGAACCTCATTGCAAGGACCCACCATCCCCAGAACTAACATGCAACTCCATATAAAATCCATGAAATTGTCATTTTTTTATGCGGGAATTTGACTGTTCGCGGTGGTGTAACCCTAAACCATAAACCCTCAACCCCCAAACACCCAAAACCTCAACCCTCAACCCCAAAACCCCCAAACCCTAAACCCCAAAAACCCTTAACCCCAAAAACCCTCAACCCCAAAAACCCTCAACCCCAAAACCCCAAAAACCCTTAACCCCAAAACCCCCAAACCCTAAACCCCAAAAACCCTTAACCTTAAACCCCCAAACCCTAAACCCCAAAAACCCTAAACCCCAAAACCCCCAAACCCTAAACCCCAAAAACCCTCAACCCCTAAACCCCCAAACCCTGAACCAACTTTGGCCACCGGGCGCCATCAACCCAACTTCGTGCCCGGCCGCCCAGGATGGAGCGGCTTTCGAGGACTTTGACCTCATGGCTAATGGCTTACACGGTATAGGGTTATAGGGTTATGGGGTTATAGGGTGTAGGGTTTGAAGGGTTGTAGGGTTTAGGATTATTGGATTATATGGTTATAGGGTTTAGGGTTATGGGTTTAATTAGGGCTATAATTTTAGGGTTATAGATTTATAGGTTTTGCGGTTATAAGATATAGGGTTTTAGGGGTTTGCAGACATGAGGTTCAACATTATAGGGTTACAGGGTTAAGGGTTGTAGATGTATAAGGTGTAGGGCTAAAGGGTTATATCGTATAGGGTTATGGGGTGTAGGGTTACAGGGTGACTATAAGGTTATAGCCGGTTTAGGGCTTAGGGCTTCTACCAGGACGCTACGTCACGCAACGTGAGCCCACGAGATTGCGTTACAGATTCTCCTACCCAGTGGCACCAAGACTTACCTGGTCCCTAGGCCCTAACCCGCTACGTACATAATCCCGGTTTCCATCCAATGTACCATGTTCTTTTCCATGCGATTGCCCATCAGTTGGGCACTACTCCCATCAATCATAAACCCGATAAGCGACTTGAAAACAAATCGGGCAGAACCCGCAAAGAAATGCCAGGCTTATCGTGTATTCGATGGTTCCGAATCGGCCTTGTCAAAGGTTCATCAGAGGGCTGGTGTCAACTATTTGGGAATTGGCTGCCCCCTTGATTTCTGAAGTAAATCTAGCTTGGGCCCCTTGTTCGGAGTCTCCAAGGGGCATACTTCATTCTGGAAACTGCAACCACCAAAACGCCCAAGACCCCGAGCCCGAAACTCTTCAAAGTACACCTAATCGACCCAAAGTGAAAGCCCCCACCACCGAAAAGAACAACTTTTAAGGCCCCAATCTCTAAAGCCTACAACCCTGTTTGCCTTGAGTCCTTGCTCTGCCAGGGCTACCTGAGCTTGCTAAATTGGATGAGGGATTCTGGCCGGGCCTTGGAATCACGAAGGGTATAGGATTCCTCCACCGTCCAATCATTGCTGCAGGATGGTAGGTTTGAGGATTTGGGTTTGATGATTTAGGGCCTCAAAATGTATAATCCCTATATTCCTAAACCCTAAACCCCTACTTCCATTTCATTTCCTGTTTGCTTTTCCACTTGATTCCCCACTATAGGGGGATAATCTCCCAATATATCTGGTACCTAAACCCTTTTGCCCAAACCCTGACTTTGGGGCTTGGACATCGTTTGAGGCTGGTAGCGCTTCTTCGGGATGATGGTAAAGACTCCATCCGGGAGCGCCCTCAAAAGTACACAGCCCTTCTGTGGGTCGTTGCAGCAGGTTCAGAACATCTCAGAGTTCCGTACCCTAAACCCTAAACCGTAA